GAGAGAGAGAGAGAGAGAGAGAGAGAGAGAGAACATGTGTGTGCATGCGTGCAGGGTGGAGGGAAGGGCAGAGGGACAGGGAGAGAATCTCAAGCAGACTCCCTGCTGAACACAGAACCTGATGGAGGTCTCGATCTCACGACCCTTGAGATCATGATGAACTGAAGCCAACAGTTGGACGCTTAACTAACTGAGACACCCAGGTGCCCCTCAACGCGTTTTTAATAAAATGCTGTACATGTACGATTTCACAAAAATTACCTCTCACCCCTTATAGTTAACTCCTTTCATCCAAGTTTTAGATTCTAATAATCTTAAAGATCAGACTGTGTCACCCCAAAATATTCCCTTTACATAAAGATTATTGTGAGCTGAAGGCAACTGAGAAGAAACAGAACCAAGAAAAAGTCTCTGCCCTCCCTGCTTCTTCTTAAATGCAGAGCATGAAATTCTCTTTGTGAAAGTATCTCCCTTTCAGCTCTTCCTTGCCAGGAAGGGGAAAATAAATCTTACCTCTGGAGATAGTAGTAAGTAATCCTTATCCTCCATTAGTTTCCCCCAATGTTTTTACCTGGTCACAATTTACTGCCCCTAAAGCCCAACCCCACTCCTTTTTTTCTTGTCACTTCTCCACAAACTTACCACTCTTCATTAAAATCATATATAAGCCCCTGAGTCTAATGGCTTCTTTAGGTATTCAGTGTTTTTCTATGAAGGCCTCATATATATATATGTATATATATATATATACATATATATATATGTATATATATATGAGAAAATGATACACACACACACACAAATGATATGAAGGCCTCATATATATATATATATATGAGAAAATGATACACACACACACACACACACACACACACGGAAAATACTTGGCAGGACCAATGAATAAGTTAGGGATCTTGGGTGTGTCACTCTATATACCCAACTGTACTATAGGTACTTGTAGGTACTCTCTTTTACATGAATGCTAACAAGACTGAGGATGTAGTTCAAAAGAGATAAATATATCACTATCATGAGAAAAGAAAAAAAGAACACACACATCAGGAAAATAAATTAATCAACTACACTGTGTACACTGCCCCTCACTATAGCTAGCACTAGGTTCAAAGGTAATACCAGATACCATAATCCAAACGCATATGAAACAGAGGCCGCTTCTAACCATCCCCAATCAAAATGACAAAAGCAAAAGAAATACCAATCTATTCCCGAAAACAACAGATATGATACTCAACTACTACAGGAAAAAAGCTCAGTACTCCAGGGGTCACGACTTTTTGTATCAAAGAACTGCTATGCTCCTCATTTAAAAGGCCTGTATTTGGGGCACCTGGGTGATGCAGTTGGTTGAGCATCCAACTCTTGGTTTTGACTCACGTCGTGGTCTCAGGGTCGTGAGATCAAGACCCGCGTCGGGCTCCGTGCTCAGCATTCAATCTGCTTGAATTTCTTTCTCTCTCTCCCTCTGCCCCTCCCCACCCCACATACTCGCACGCTTGCTCTCAAATAAATAAATCTTTTTTTTTATAAGATTTTATTTATTTATTTGACAGAGAGAGACACAGTGAGAAAGGGAACACAAGCAGGCGGAGTGGGAGAAGCAGACTCCTTGCTGAGCAGGGAGCCTAATGAGTGCTTCATCCCAGGACCCTGGGATCATGACCTGAGCCAAAGGCAGATGCTAAATGACTGAGCCACCCAGGCGCCCCTCAAATAAATAAAAAAATCTTAATAAATACATACATAAAAGGCCTGTATTCAAACAAGATTGGGAGGTACTTAGGTTTTTTGGGGGATGAGGTGGGGTGGATAGACGTAGTTAGGAATCTGTCAATAGAGGGGCGCCTGCGTGGCTTAGTCAGTTTGAACTTCCAACTCTTGATTTCACCTCAGGTCATGATCTCAGGGTCCTGGGATTGAGGTCCGTATCTGGCTCTGAGCTCAGCTTAGTATTCTCTCTCTCTCTCCCTGTACCTCCGCTCCTCCCCACCACTCGCGCTCTCTCTAAAATAAATGAAATCTTTAAAAAATATATAAAACAATCTGTTAGTAGGACTGTTGAAATAAGCATAATACAAGACGGTACAAATAGTTCCTGTTTTTAATAATAATTAATGCCTGGAAGCTTTATGGTGAATTAAACTAATAAAAGCAAACCCTTTTCCCCAAAGCAAAGTGGTTAAAATTTTTACCGCTACATTAGTCAGTGAAGGCTTTATGGAGGAAGTGGGCCTTGAAGAATGGGCAAACTTTGAACAGGAAGAAGGGAGATTACAGGTATCCAGATAAGGAGGATAGGAACAAAGGCACAGAAGCAGGAATTCAACACTGATTCAGGCCCACCATAGTCAGACATGGGGTTAGGTTCCAAGAACACTAAAATCTGTGAAGTACTGTTTTTTGCTTTAAATCAGCCCAGAGTCTAGCCAATGAGACAAACTGCCAAAGAAGACATGGTAAGTATATTAGTGTCAAAATACCTGTAACGTTCTGTCAGAACACAAATGAGGAACAATTTTGCCTGCCTGCTTCAGGGAAAATATTAAGAGAAAATAAGATATTTGAACTGAATCTTTTTTTCTTTTTGAACTGAATCTTGAAGGATGAATAGGGCTCTGCCCAGTGACAAAAGGGGACAGGGAGGGCAATGTGGGCAAAGCAAACAGCACAAAGGCACAAAAGTGAAAGAATGGTTAGGGTACAGACCTATGTCCAGAATGGTGAGTAGGATGCATAGGCACCAGGGAATTAGAACTGAGTTAAAAAGGTAAGATGTGGGGACTCTTGGGTGGCTCAGTCGGTTAAGCATCTGACTTCGGCTCAAGTCATGATCCTGGGGTCCTGGTATCTAGCCCCACCTCAGGCTCCCTGCTCAGTGGGGAGTCTGCTTCTCCCTCTGCCCCTCCCCCCCAATTGTGCTCTGTCTCTCTCTCAAATAGGTAATATCTTTTTAAAAAAAATCTGCATTTACTATCATAAAATTTTTTTTTTAAGAAGGGTAAGATGAGGCAATATCAGAAAGGGCCTTATCCTATAGGTGCCAAAGAACCAGCAAAAGATTTTAAACCACAAAATGGCATCAGATCTGGATTTTGGAAAAAAGCTGGTGGCAACATAGAAAATAAGTTGGGTGGAAACTGGAGACAGAAAAAGCAATTAGGAAGCTACAGCAAACACCTCAATGAATGTTGAGGGCCTAGATAATGTGAGTGACAATGGAGAATGAGGGGACAGATTCCAAGGGCATTTGTAGGTGGAGGCAAGGGGACAGAAATTTATAACTCATTTGATATGTAAGGAAAAAAAGGAGTATTTTCTGACGAAGTTAAAAAAGTAACTTATGGATGGTGATGACATTAAAAGCTCAGAGAGAAGCAGGGTTGTGGGTAGGTAATAAAAATATTTCCATGAGTGAACATTAACATCTAACCAGTTACTCAAGCCAGATAGCTGGGGATTGTAGTAGGCTATTCACCTGCCACCCCAGCTAGTCGGTCACCAAGTGCCAGAGACCCTACCTCTTCCACATCTCTCAAATTCAGCTCATCATTATGGTTTCTAGACCCACTGCTTCATAATCAAAGTACCGTTTCTCTCCTGGGTTAATAACCGCTTAAGTGGTCTCCCCGTCCCTAGTCTGGAGCCCCCATCTAATCGATCGTTTACAGTGTTTACCACAATGCTCTTCCTGAAACAAAAATCTGAACATTTTAATTAAGCTTCTGATTGAAACCCCTCAAAGCCCCCTCCCCCCTCCCCTGCAGCTTACAGGACAAAGTCCAAATGTCTTGGTTTAACACAAAAGGCCATTTAAAATCCTAATCCTGCCTACCTCTCCTCCAACTCTCACACATGCCTGCTTTGCTCCAGCCACATGGAACTTCTGGCAGCATCATTAACATGCCATGCTGTTCCAGTTTCCAGGCCTCTGCACTGGCTGTTCACTCTGATGAGCTTCTTCCTTCCTTGTCTCACACAGTTAACTCCTGGCTCACACACAAAGCCTCCAGAACATTTTCCTCACGCTCTGATTTGTTGGGATAACTCCTATACTTGTGTAGTACCTACTGTAGAATATTACCATCCAATACTAGAATTGTGGATGTATCTATTCTACCAGTCAGCAGAATCCCTGAGGGCAAAGACTATGTCTCATCTGATTTTGCAGAAGCTAGCAGTATCTGGCACATGTGACAGGCACTCAAAAAACATTTGTTGAGGGAGTTCAGTTTTAGACTATTAGCCGATGTCAAATGACCAAATAAGGATGGTCAAGGACACAACTCTGAAAAACAGCACCATTTAAATGGGAGAAAGAGAAAGAGACAGCAAAGGTGTAGGAAGAGAACAGGAAAAATAGAACCATAGAAAGCTGAGAGGAATATGTTTAGAGTAGGGAAACATTAGTGTCAAATACTATAGAGACAATGAAATTTCAGGAAAATACTGTTGAGCAGGTGGACATTTTAGGTTCTTTGTTTACATCACCATACACAAGAAGCACATGGGACAGCTTAGAATAATATTCTCCAGTTTGCTTTTTAGGTGTAAAATTGGTTGTATTTAACCTTCCACCTATCAGACCAAAGGAAAACCATTAAGATATTTTAAACTACCTGAAACTGTGATAAAGCATTTATTAAACCAAGAAGATGGAAAAATTAAAATATTTCTGTATCTTTTCTTTCCTTCTTCACTCCTTATTCAGTATCCAGTATTTTTTTAAATTGTAACATGGATTTGAGGGGAAGGGATTTTATTTTATTTAAGTTTACATTAGTAGTTTGGTAGCTGGAGTAGTATCATGACAGCTTTTAAATATCACAATTTTTCATCTACCAATTCTAATAGAAGAACCTCTTGTTTGTAATGTATTAACTGCTTTCATGTAACTTTAATTTCTGATAGACAATAAGGTATTTCATGGTAAATAAATCAAATTATAGTACTTAACAAGAGTAACCATAAAATAGTGAACATACCCCTGTATCTGTATCAGACTTTGATGAATTCAGACTTTCCTGAGAAGGTGACGGGGACACACGTCCTAAAAACAAAATAATTATAAAAAAGGCATGTATGTACACACACACAAAACATCAATCAGAAATAATGACAAAGGAACACCTAATTAATAGTCATACAATGTAACATTCTGAAAAAAACACATTTTCTAAATAAGTGAGGCATTAACTCTTTGGGCACCAAAATAACGGTTTTTATCATTTTTATCATAAAATCTTTATAACCATATCGTCAACTTAATAAAATATTGTTAAAATCCTCATTATTCATAGTGAATACAAATAAGATGAACAATAAAGGGGCACAAAGGGTCTGGGGTGGTAGAAGTCTCAAGGGCCACTGAAAGTAGTCTTTCTGCTCTAGGCAGGGCAATAAAAAAAAAATGTATTGTAAACATAGTTTAAGTTTTTGCCAACCCATTATCATCTTCAGGTATGTATAACATAATAAAAGCAATACCCACAGGGCCACTAAAGTATACAGGGCCTCATTTACCAGTTTAGTGGATCTCCCCAGATTTCTATGTTCCTCAAATTGGTAATTCAAACATACTCTCTACTCTAGCCTGTGGCCACCTATTCTCCTTTCTCCCATCCCTTAACTTCTTGGTTTCAGCCTTAGTTGGCTAGGGTGAGGATGGGAGTGGAATGGAGGGGCTTGTGGAGAAAATTTATTACAGTTAAATAATTATAAGAGAAGAATCCCATAAATATAAAGCTCTTATTTATATCAATTCCACATGCTTTCCTGGTAAGTTACCAATATACAGAAATATTTTACATAGTTGTAATCACGGTGTACATACATCACATTCTGAGGTTTCTCTTTGCCATTTAACCTTTTTTCATATACCTCTGATGTACTGACAAATCACATTTCCTTTTCATGGTTGGGTCTCCTTTTTTTCTTTACTTACTGCATGGATATTATTCTCCTCATTCTTTTTCTAAATTAATCAGGTTATTTCATTTAAACCCAGGAGAGAACTAAAGGTTGTCAGGGGAAACCAAGTGACTTTGTTCTCAACAGTTGATGAATTAAACTCTGCACTATACTTCAAAAGGGATAAAGTCAAAAGCTCTATGGTAGCATTTTCCATGGGATTTAGATACTTTTTTGGTGTTGACTTCTGTCCTACTTTTAGGTTTGTGGCCCCTATTAAAAATAGTGGTTGCTGCAAATGGTTGCCAGAGAAGAGGGCATCATTATACCTAAAATGTAAAAATGCCAGATGTCTCTAGAGTTTTAAAGCCCACAAGCAAATCAAAATACCTTCGGTATTGTATTTCATTCGCATATTGTTGAAATAGTCAAAAGCATTTTTTAAAGCCCATATTCTCACTACATTGTCTTGTCCAGCTGAGGCAAGTAATCGGCCACAGTGAGAAAATTTCATGGTCCAAACAGCTCCCTATGAAAACAAAGGAAGGTTCAGAATTACTACTTTAAAAGTTGAAACATTCTTTTTTAAGATTTTATTTTTAAGTAATCTCCACACCCAACGTGGGCCTCGAACTTACAAGCCCAAGATCAAGAGTCGCACGCTCTACCGACTGAGCTAGCCAGGCACCCCTAAGAGTTAAAACATTCTTTTATTTATTTATATAAAGATTTTTATTTATTTATTGAGAGAGAGAGAGAATGGTAGAGAGAGAGCATGAGAGGGAGGAAGGTCAGAGGGAGAAGCAGACTCCCCACTGAGCAGGGAGCCCGATGCGGGACTCAATCCCGGGACTTCAGGATCATGACCTGAGCTGAAGGCAGATGCTTAACCAACTGAGCCACCCAGGCGCCCTGAAACATTATTTTAAAGCCAAAGTAAAGAATTATTCCGAATTATACATATTAAGATCATGCTCATATTACTAACACCATTGAAGGCCAACAGTTCAATGATGTCACAACAGCACAAAGAGGAATTTTTAGGAGAAAGGTAGGATAAGATAGCAGCAGTTTACCATAATCTAAACTAACAAGTTCAAAGCCCCAAGCCTTGTCTACAAATTAATGGAAATGGAGTTCCAAGGTGGCCAGAAATCATTGTAAAAAAAAATCCTAGTTGGGGATATCAGTCTCCTAGCTGAACACAAGCGGGAGTGACATCGGAGGAGGCAGAGCCCTCAGGATACTACTACCACCCTTGATCAAGGCTGAGGGAAACATAGGCCCATGTTAGCAGTGACCCTCATGGCACTGGGCATTTACAAGTGTTGGAATGGTGTGGTCTCATCCTGTTTTTCCCCCCAGATACAAGATTTCACAGTGTATGGTTAGAATTCCCAGATACTGCTAATAATAGGGAAGTGTGTGAGTATGTGTTGGGAGGTGGGGGTGGCACGACTTAAGAACACGAACCCTTAAATTGGAAAAGCCAAATGCTACTACAACAAATACTGTCATAACTACTATTACAACACATATCTATGCAGATCAAAAAGATTACCTAACTTATGGGGTACCTGCTTAGTTGGGAGACCATGCAACTCTTGGTCTCTAGGTCGTGAGTTTGAGCCCTATGTTGGGTGTAGAGATTACTTAAAAATAAATAAACTTAAAAAAAAAAGATTATCCAAGTTAGAGGCAGTAGCTCATTTACTGAAATAACATTCATTTCCATAAAATTCAAGTACATTAAGAAATTTGTTATTGGTAACCTACTACAATGAGACTTTACTTAAAACTGGAAATAACGAAAGTGAATCAAAACAGTACAAGGAAGTTCATCAGTTCCTTAAGGAAGTTACTATAATCAAGTCAAATATTTTATATGGAGATTATAAGCACCAAAGTTTAAATTCCAATCTGGCTGCCGTCTGATATGTTTATGGTTGCTTCCTTCCAGTTAAGCCACATTTTGGAATTAAAATCTAAATAGATACATAGATTCCCTGATCAAAGACCCACAGCATCATCTGTCCAGTCCAGGAGTTTATTACCAGCTTCCCTGTGTTCCCAGCATTTTCAAGGGTAACTGGATTATCACTTGTGCACTTTATACCCACTTTGGTACATTTTAACTCTGGTAGAAAACTTGTACCTCTCTCTCCTAGCTTTAGCTGCCATTTTACAAAATACACTGACCTACTGTAATATTTGTGTTAATTATTTAAAATACACCCGGGGGGGGTGCGTGGGTGGCTCAGTTGGTTAAGCGACTGCCTTCAGCTCAGGTCATGATCCTGGAGTCCTGAGATCGAGTCCCACATCGGGCTCCCTGCTCGGCGGGGAGTCTGCTTCTCCCTCTGGACCCTCTTCCCTCTCGTGCTCTCTATCTCTCATTCTCTCTCTCTCAAATAAAATAAAATCTTAAAAAACAAAAATACACCCAGGGAAGGGCACCTGGGTGGTTCAGTCGGTTAAGCATCCAACTCTTGATTTCGGCTCAGGTCATGATCTTAGGGTCATGAGATCAAGCCCCGCACTGGGCTCTGTGCTCAGCATGGAATCTGCTTGTTCCTCTCACTCTGCTCCTTCCCCTATCGCTCACTTTCTCTCTCAAATAAATAAAACCTTTTAAAAATATACCCAGGGAATACTTTAAATGTCTTCCAAAGACATAGACCACCCTGTAAATTTAACTGCTTTAAAAGTCTGGTACCTTTACACTGCTTTCTTAATGATACGGGCCTAGAGTTTACTTATTCAATAACTTTCACTTCTTGAGGGGCGCCTGGGTGGCTCAGTTGGTTACGCATCTGACTTTGGCTCAGGTCGTGATCTCAGGGTCCTGGGATCAAGCCCCACATCGGACTCCACACTCAGCACAAAGTCTGCTTCTCCCTCTCTCTCTGCCCCCTTCCCCTGCTCATGCCCCCACTCTCTCAAATAAACAAAATCTTTAAAAACAAAAACTTTCACTTCTTGGGGCACCTGGGTGGCTCAGTCGTTAAGCGTCTGCCTTCAGCTCAGGTCATGATCCCAGGGTCCTGGGATCGAGCCCTGCATCGGGCTCCCTGCTCAGCGGGAAGCCTGCTTCTCCCTCTCCCACTGCCCCTGCTTGTGTCCCTTCTCTTGCTGTGTCTCTGTCAAATAAATAAATAAAATCTTAAAAAAAAAAAGAAAACCTTTCACTTCTTGATATTTGCAAGCAACATATCTGATAAACAGTTAGCATCCAAAATAAATAAAGAACTTACCAAACTCAACACCCCCAAAAACAACACAGTTAAGAAATGGGCAAAAGACATGAAAAGACATTTTTCCATAGAAGATATCCAGATGGCTAACGACCCATGAAAAGATGCTCAACGTCACTCATCATCAGGGAAATAAAAATCAAACAAACGATGACATACCACCTCACACCTGTCAGAAAGGCTAAAATTAACAAAACAAGAAACAACAGGTGTTAGCAAAGATGTGGAGAAAGAGGAACCCTCATGCACTGTTGGTGGGAATGCAAACTGGTGGAGCCACTCTGGAGAACAGTACGGAGGTTCCTCAAAGAACTAAAAATAAAACTACCCTACGATCCAGCAATTGTACTACTAAGTATTTACCCAAAGAATATAAAAATAGAGATTCGAAGGGGTACATGCACCCCGATGTTTACAGCAGCATTATCAACAATAGCCAAACTATGGAGAGAGCCCAAATGTCCACTAACTGATGAATGGCTAAAGAAGATGTGGTACACACACACACACACACACACACACACACACACACACACACACACAATGGGATACTACTCAGCGATCAGAAAGAATGCTATCTTGCCATTTGCAATGACGTGGATAGAGCTAGAATGTATTATGCTAAGCAAAATTAAGTCAATCTGAGAAAGACAAATACCATATGATTTCACTCATATGTGGAATTTATTTTTTTTAAGATTTTATTTTTATTTATTTGAGAGGGAGAGAGAGAGAACAGGTGAGAGCACAAGAGCAGGGGAGGGAGAAGCAGACTCCCCACTGAGCAAGGAGCCTGATGTGGGGCCCAATCCCAGGACTCTAGGATCATGACCTGAGCTGAAGGCAGCCACTTAACTGACTGAGCCACCCAGGCGTCCCCATATATAGAATTTAAAAAGAAAACAAATGAACATAAGGGAGGTAATGGGGGGGAAGGAGAGGAAAACAAACCATAAGAGATTCTTTTTTTTTTTTTTAAGGATTTATCCATTCATTTGAGAGAGAGAGAGAGAGAGAGAGCACATGAGTGTAGGGAGGGGCTGAGGGAGAGGGAAACAGAGAATCTCAGGCAGACTCCCCACTGAGCACAAAGCCCTGTGAGGGACTCGATCCCAAAACCCCGAGATTATGACCTGAGCTGAAATCAAGAGTCAGACACTCAACTGACTGAGCTACCCAGGTGCCCCAAACCATAAGAGACTCTTAACGATAGAGAACAAATTGAAGGTTGATGGAGGGAGGTGGAGGGGGGATGGCCCGATGAGTGATGGGTATATTAAGGAGGGCACTTGCTGTAATGAGCACTGGGTGTTGTATATAAGTGATGAATCAATGAATTCTACTCCTGAAACCAACACTGCACAGCATGTTAAATTTAAATAAAAATTTTAGAAACCTTTCAGTTCTTGAAAAATAATCCAGAGACAGACTCTGCATTACCTAGGCATTAAACCATTATTAATATTAATTTACTCTTCTTGAGTCAGGTTAGCAAAATTATATACATAAGAGATTGGCTGTGTACAAGCCAAAGTACTTCTCTCAATGAAAACAATCCTGAAAAATATAAAGGTTGCTTACCATATGCTCACCACTAAGATCTTGCACCACTTTTATCTGATCAAAATCATAAGGTCCTTTGAAACCATGCGCTGCTTTGAATTTGACTGGTCTTGTATATGGCATTCCTTCATCATCACTTGATGAAGGATCATCTTGATCAGTATGAAACACTGAATAGAAAAGCAATATAGAAATCATCACTAGCTAATGTAGATAAAGCTACTATCAGATTTTCATTCTACTGTTTACCAAGAAAATTTATTAAATGGAAAAGCATAGCTATTACTAAATAGCAATATTGGTTAAGAGCACGGGATCTGGTGCCAGACTGTCTGGGTCCAAATCCAGCTGTCATTTATTGTCTGTGTGTCCATAGCCAAAGCACTGGACCTTTTTGTGCCTTGGTTTTCTCATCTATAAAATGGGAGATAATAACAGTACTTACACCTCATAGGGTTTTTATGAAGGTTAAATGAATGAATACAGGTCCAAGTACTTAGAAGAGTGTCTGGTACAAAATAACTACTGTATTAGTGTTTATTAAATAAAATAAATGAGTACAATTACAACAAAGGCAAAGGAAGTTAAGATCTGTAAAATTTAGAAAATTTTCCAAATTTTGAAACTATTTATAAAAACTAAATAAACTTATAAAACTAATTTACAATTGATTAATGAACACTCATTTCTTCTAGGTTGCCACAGTTACAAAATATGTACAAATTCATGTTTAATATGAACAAATTTATTTTTCTTTCTGCTCATAAAATTAAGTGATACCTAGAATAACATGATTTATTGAACTGCTAAGATGTCTGCTACAAAGGTTTCTTACTTTCAATAAAACAGAATGCTTCTTATAAATCATAGGCTAAATTTGGATGATTACAAATCAATTAAATATTCATTTGCAATGTTCTATTTCACTTACCTTCATCTCTAACACTTTTAACTTTATTCACAGCACGTTCACCATATTCTTCTGCAAGGTGCTTTGCTCTCTTTACTGATTTTCCTAAGAACTTCTTTAGTTGAGTCCTTACCCAAAATACAAAAAACCAAAATTATTATTTTTTATAGATTTTATTTATTCATTTATTTGACAGAAAGAGAGTGAGAGAGGGAACACAAGCAGGAGGAGTGGGAAATGGAGAAGCAGGCTTCCCGTGGAGCAGGAAGCCCGATGTGGGGCTCAATCCCAGGAGCTGGGATCATGACCTGAGCTGAAGGCAGATGCTTAACGACTGAGCCACCCAGAAGCCCCGAATTCTCGTATTTTTTAAAAAGCTTGAAATAAAGGAGATGTACTGTAACTCACGTTTTCTGTTTTAACCTTCCACCATCAGTATCTGTTGTCTGAGACTGTAACTTCTCTTCATCATCTGACTGTGCCGCGTCATTACTACAAGAAGGGGAAGAAGGCATTTTAAAAGAAGCCATTTCCCCTACACCTCTCAACAATCCAGGTATACTATATACTCAGGTACTCAGAATAAAACTATGTTAACATACTTTATATAAATTTACTTTTATTTTTTTAATTTTTTATTATGTTAATCATCATACATTACATCATTAGTTTTTAATGTAGTGTTCTATATAAGTTTACTTTTATTGACGACCCTCAGAATGTAAGACTTGAGAGATCAAAGAAAAGAATCTTTAAGCATGATGTAACGTACAAAATGTAAGTGAAAGCAATTTAGGAACTTATGGAAAACCTACTACCAACAAGGCTTTTTGTTGGACAAAACGTGCTGCACAGAAATGACAAATTAACTACCTCTTCGCTCTTCAGGTACATCATGTATTACACTTTATTGAGATTTGCTTTCACAATAATCATTTCTTCGATCTACATACATCTCACAGTAAAGTCAATCACCTCACTCTAAAGCCATTTTCTGACCTACAAAGGTAATAGGTACTATAAGTAGATAATAAGTATTATAAGATAATACTTATAAAATCTGTGGTCTTAAAGCAAGGTTCCAGAAACCAGATCTTCATTGCACATGGCTTTTTACCCTCAATATGTTTCACTAATGTCTCTAGTATTATATAAATCATTTTAAAAGAAAAACAAAATACTATGAGATTTCAGATATATACTGTTTTCCCCAAGTAACTGTATGGTCTTAAGAGAGAATAATGTTGAAGAATACATACATTAACTAACTCTATTTTAATTCCATATTTAAAAAAAGAAGACTGAATGAAACCAAATTAGGGACTGTTATAGTTCATAAACAGAGAAATCTTCACCACTCTGAAATACTACGAATGATAAAGAATAACAATAGGCCATACCTTACATATTCCTTAGTCCTTCTCATGATGTGTAGAGTGAGAGGATTAATACCTGTTGGCAGTTTCTCTTCCGCAAGACTCAAAGGTATTTCTTCTCCAGTATCCAGGTTCTTAATCATGACACTGGCTAAAATTTCCTGAGGTAAAAAATAACACCAAGAGGACCTATAATTTAATTATCTTTTTGAGTCTGCAAAATCCTCAAACATTTAAGCTAAGGACTTTCTAGACACCTTCAGTACTCTGTACAATAATTTTTATCTTTTTTCATGACATATAATTCATACATTGCAGAATGCACTCGATTTAATTCAATGATTTTGAGTAAATTCAGAGTTGTACAATAATCACCTTTATTTAAGTTTAGAATATTTCCACTACCTCAAAAAGAAACCCCATACCCATTAAATGTCATACCTCATTCCCCTCTCCTCCCAGCCCCTAGCAACGACTATTCTACTTTTTGTCTCTATGGTTTGCCTATTACAGACATTTCATATAAATCAAATCATCCCGTATGTGGTCTTTTGTGATTGGCTTCTTTTGCTTAGCACGTTTTCAAGGGTCATCCACACTGCAGCATGTGTCAGAACTTCATTCCTTTTAATTGCCAAAAAAATAGTCCATGTGGACTGGATATACATTTTATTTAACCATTCATGGGAGATGAACATTTGTGTTGTTTCCACACTTGGCTATTATGAATACTCGTGTACTTTTTTTTTTTTAAAGATTTTATTTATTTATTTGAGAGAGAGAAGAGAGCACACAAGCACCGGCGGGGAGGGGGAAGGGCAGAGGGAGAAGCAGACTCCCCGCTGAGCAGGGAGCCCCATGCAGGATCCTGAGACCATGACTTGAGCCAAAGGCAGACGCTTAACTGACTGAGCCAGCCAGGCGCCCCACTTGTGTACGTTTTTTGTGTGGACATATATTTTCATTTCTATTTGGTGTATACATAGGAGTAGAATTGCTGGATCATGGTAACTCAATGTCTAATGTTTTGAGGAAATGCCATACTGTTTTCCAAAGTACAATAATTTTTTAAAATGTATCATTTAAAAGAAACGAAAGCTGGGGCACCTGGCTGGCTCAGTCGGTGGAGCATGCGGCTCATGATACTGGGGTTCAGTTTGAGCACCACGTTGGATGTAGAGATTACTTAAAAAAAATCCTTAAAAAAAGAAAAAAAGACATGAAAACTAAGATTTTGCTTCAAAACTTTATTCAGAATAAATTGGTCAATCAATGTATACTAAATTTTAATGGTAAGTAAGCACTAAGTCTGCATACACTGTACATCACCTAACAAGTATAAAAACATATAACATCAATTCTTTTTAAGCCCACCTTCTATTAAATTTGGGCTTTGTTTTCAATACATTTCTTCTACCACATAATGGTATAAAAAGGTAATTTTAAGTTAGAGTGGCAAACTCCAACATATTAAAAAAACAAAAACTGGGGCGCCTGGGTGGCTCAGTCAGTTAAGCATCTGCCTTTGACTCAGGTCATGATCCCACGATCATGAGTCCTGAGTCAGGCTTCCTGCTCAGCGGGGAGCCTGCTTCTCTCTCTCTCTTCCTCACTTGTGTTCTCTGTCACTCTCTCTATCTCTCAAATAAATAAATAAAATCTTTAAAGACAAAACAAAAACAAACAAACAAACAAAAACCCCCCCCCAAACTGGGATGCCTGGCTGGCTCAGTCAGTACAGCATGTAACTCTTGATTTCAGGTTGTGAATTCGAGCCCCACACTGGGTGTAGTGTTTACTTAAAAATAAATGAAATATAATAAATTTTTAAAAACTAAGAAAATCAATTTTCATTTTCTCTTCTTTTTGCTTAACAGCAATAAACTTAAATTTTTTTAATCATGGTAAAATATTTTTAGTTGTATAGTTCAGTGGTATTAAGCACACTCACAATGCTGTACAACCATTACCACCATTCATCTTGAGAGTTTCTTCATCTTCTCATTATGATTTTTATATTTTATGTTAAGAACAAAAAGAATCTAACTATACCTCATCAGTAAGCTCTCTCCCAGAGTTGGATCTAGGTCTCTGAGGGCCCATCACTTCACCTGCTATGGTCTGCCCATCAGGTGCTTTTCCATTTTCCTAAAATTACAATTTTATAAACAGAAAGACTGAGTCAATTGCTATAAACATTCAATTATTCATTACCACACACAGTTCTAAAGAATCCCATAATTCACATAATGGAGCCTACTGAAAATTTAAATGAAACACTCCATTTCGGTCCTTTATTATTCCCAGCATGCTGAAAAACATTAGGTATCAAAACCATTGCTGCCCATGAAATAATATCTTAGTCTTGAAAGCAAATAAATGTTCTACTTGAACGTGACCCAAAAGCAGTTCTCTATTAGCAGAGTGCCATTAATCAGGGCTATACTTGTGCTTATCTCGAAGGCAGGGGTTGGCAAACTTTTACTATAAAGAGCCAGAGAGTAAATGTTTTAGGCTTTCTGCTTCACATATAGTGTCTGTCACATATTCTTTTTTTTTTCTTTTCCTTACACTCCTTTAAAAATGTAAAGACCATTCTTAGCTCAGGGACTCTAGATAAACAGGCTACTGCCAGTCTCTGCTCTAAGGCTATGACAAGACTGAAGGGCCTTATCTCCCAGTCTGCTAACCTGTCCCTACCACTGCTACCGTGTAAGCCTTGAGTCCCAGAAACTGGGCTATGGTAAAAATTCCTGCTATCACGTGTTTTCTATTGCCTCATATATGGATATATAGCCTAGTATAGGAAGGGTTTTTTTCATGATTAGTAAAGGAAATTATAAATAAAAGTCCTCAGTTTTGACCACCATAGGTAAGGTAAATGAAGACTGTAGTTGATGTTTATTAACATAATAATATTACAAATAGCAGCATCTTTCATTTTTTTTGATTGCCTACTGCATGCCAGGTACTTGGCATACTTTAGCTCATTTCATCCTTGCAAGATACCTTCAAGGAAGGTTTTCCCCTCATTTTTATCAATGGGAAGTCTGAAACTTAGATATTAAATAGTTTGTTAGAATCACCTAGCTATATAGTAGCAGAGCTAAAAAAGGGATGTAAGGCCAGGTTTTAAGGACAAGGAAATATTCTGCCTGGAGAAGAAGGTTCAACAAGCAACAAACCAGACAGCTACAGAAAGTTGTTAAAGCCTCTACCAAATATAACATGAATTCACCAACCTGGGCAGTAACTACTTTATCTCCACTGGTAGCACTTGCCAAGTCAAGAGAAGGCTGAGAATCCTTGACTGTATTCTCTGAAGCCATGTTCGTACTTAGGAGAGTATCAGATGTAATATTCTCTTTGGGAACTGCAATGACGATGATGATAATAATAATGGTGATGATGATAATGGCAACAACTAGTATTTATATAGGACCTTATATAGAGCTTGAAAAGTGCTTTAACCTTTGTCTGATTCTTACAACAATCCCATGAGAAAGTGGTTTTATTACTCATTTTATATATGGAGAAACCAGGGTTCAAACAAGTTATTTCAATTCCTCAAAGCTATACAACTGATACACGAAGAGATCTACATCTTGAATTCAGATCTTAAGTTTCCAATGGTAACAGATTTGAAAGTTTGAAGTCTACTAAAATGTTCGAACATAGTAACTTACTACCAATATAAACATGTTCACTTTTTATTACTAAAATAACTTCTGTAACTTGGTCATGGTCATCGATGTGGTTGTATACAGCATAAACTGAAACAAAACCAGAAAGTCAAATAGTTTCAACTCCAAAATCTCTTCACAAAAAGTTATTTCTCAATTAAATACTTGCCGTCTGGATCAGGCGTTTTAAGGGCCTCAAACTCCAATTCACTTTTCTTTTTTCTTGGTGGTGGAGCAGGTCGAGATGGAGGCGGGGGCCTAGGAGGTGGGAAATTAGTTGGAGGGGGAGGGCGTGCTGGAACAGGCTTCTTTGTACTAGCCACAATGTCAGGTTCTGGAGTAAGCTGTCTTGGGGGTTTAGCGGGAGCCACTTCTTCCATGGCAGCAAAATCTTTAGTAGATAAAGAGTTTGAGGACACAGGTTCTAGAACATCACTTCCTTTGACTTCCATGGCTTCTTTGTTCAATACTTCTGTTTCAGTTTCAGGCACATTATGCTGCTCAGTTGAACTTATTTCAGTTAACTTAGTGATTTCATCTACTGACTTCTCATAGGTGTCATCAGAAGGAAAACATCTTTTAGATTCTAATTCAGTTTCTTCAATTGCATTCTGACTCTCTGCCTTTTTGGAATCTTCCTGTAGTACCTGATCTATGGCTAACAGTCCAGGTATATTGCTAAGATCTGTTCCAGCTACAAGAGAACTGCCAGTAGCCTGGTCAGAGTGTCCCTTTCCTTTGGAATCCGACGAGTCATCTTCCAGCTGTAGTACTTTCTGACTCTCCTCAATAATGCTTTCAATAATCTGATGAAAGGTTAAAAAGCAGTTTTTTAAAAAATGAGGCTATTTCCACGAACATAACAGCTAATAATTTACATAGTACTTACTACGTGCCAGGGAATGTTCTTAACACTTTACATTTTTAATCTTTACAATAACCATATGAGACAGCACTCTTAATATTATCATTACACAAATGAAGGAACAAAGGTATAGAGGGATCAAGTGATTTGTCCAAGGACAAAGAGCTAGTAAGTGATAAGTTGGCAAAAATCCTGGGAGTTTGGTTCCAGAATCTGAACTCTTAACCATTATAATAGGGAATCTGTTAGTACGTATAATTACAAAAGTTCAACCAACCCTGTAAAATAAAGTTCAGACCTAAATTTACATTCAGACTCTTCATGTCATTGTTCATTTACATACTTATGCCAAGTTAGTTACAGTAACAACCTACTGCTTTGGGCCTAGTTAACATAACCATGAGAATCAAAACCACCTAGCACAAGAATTCGGATTGTTTAGTTCTGAACTGAAGCCTAAGACAGAAAAAGCCAGCAGATGCAGGAAGATGAACATTCTTAAACAAACTACACCTAATACTCCACTATTCAGAGAAATGGCAGGACCATGAAGAGAGTTCAAACACTCAGCTCACCTTGCCTTTTCCCTGTTTTATTTCTTTTCTGTAGCTGAAAAATACAGATGGGGTTTCTATATCTTCTACTAACATTTAGAAGAAAAGATATTTTCTACCTAGTACTGTCATTATTACCACATAAAATCTCCCAGTCCACTTATCTTTCCACCATGCCCAACCATGGATGACTTCTGCTTTCTCAATTCCTTGGCTCCAGAAAGTTAACAGAACGTGTCACACAGCCATCCTGACTGGGCTTACCACAAATTCATGCTGACCTGAACTGGACATGACTGCTGCTCAGGGATACTCCTCCCTGATTTCCCAGCATAGTCCACATAATGATTTTTCTCAACCTTCAAATTTTTAGCCTAGTCTCTTTTTTTTAAGATTTAATTTATTTGGGGTGCCTGGGTGGCTCAGTCGTTAAGCGTCTGCCTTCGGCTCAGGTCGTGATCCCTGGGTCCTGGGATGGAGGCCCACATCAGGCTCCCTGCTCAGTGGGAAGCCTGCTTCTCCCTCTCCCTCTGCTTGTGTTCCTTCTCTCGCTGTGTCTCTGTCAAATAAATAAATAAAATCTTAAAAAAAAAAGATTTAATTTATCTGATAAAGAGAGAGAGCATAAGCAGGAGGGCGGGGGTGGGGGGAGTGGCAGAGGGAGAGGGAGAAGCAGGCTCCCCCCTGAGCAGGGAGCCCGACATGGGGCTGGATCCCAGGACCACCTGAGTGGAAAACAGATGCTTAACCAACTGAGTCACCCAGGCACCCCTTATCTTAGTTTTAATCACACTTTTAGCACAGGAATATTAACTAGAATCCACCTGCTTTGTCAATTCAGTGGTTACTGAGCACTGAGAACCTTAGTGATAACAGAAGCCAGTGGGTTTAATGATGAGTAAGAGGTGACAACAAAGAGATAGCCAGCACAATCTATGTTTTCAAAAAGCTTGGCTACAAATGGAAAAGGCTGCAAGAAAGTGATCCAGCATTTTTAAAGCTGAGGGGAAGGAGCCAATAGAAAGTAAGATAACAAAGTTCTGGAGAGGAAAAGAATTAGGCCAGTACACATATTTTCTATTTAATCATCACACAGGCCTTGAGGTAGCTAGATTATCTCCCTTCTACAGAAACAAGAATCTGAGGTAAAGGCATTAAGAATTTTGTCCAAGAAAAAAAAAATTTTGTCCAAGGTCCCACAGCTAGTTAACTACAAAGTCAAAATTGAAATCCAGGTTTTTCTCAGAAATCCAGTGTTTTGTATATTATACCATGCTACTTTGGACAGGGAAAAAAAATAATACTAAGTTCTCAGACTTGACAACGAGGCAAAAGATGAAAACAAATTTGCAGGTAAGGGAAGTGAAAGCAGATGAAAAGGAGTGAATACAGGCTTCTTAGTCTCTAATGTCTACGTGCAGTCAGAAACAAGGTTATCTGCTGAAAGCAAGCAGGATACATGTGGGCACAGTGAGCATGAAGTGACTGTAAAGGTCTGAAATAATCACTATGCATAATGGAAAGGCTAATGCCAGAGAGGGATTAAAATGAGGTTAAAAATCACAAGTCTTCCCCAATCCCTTATCCTTTCACTGAACTATCAGTCTTACCATTCACTATAGTATGAACTATAATATAAACAAAGTAGTATATGGGCTAGCTCTATATAAATACTTTCTCCATAGCAGATAATTAGCTTTTGAAACACAAGGCCCATATTTTCTCCCTCTTGATACGCCCTCATAGCACCTACGTATAGTACCTAACCCTGTATTTTTTTTGCCCCCCTGGGTTTCAGGAGGTAGCAAACAGGGAAAGACCAAAAGAACAATGCAAATCAAGACCAACATAGAGATGAACATGCTAAAGCAACTGTTAGCTTCACATCGCCTCCCTGCTTCAAAAAACTCATTGATCTTCCAGTGACTGTAAAATAGAAATCAGATGTTTTAGTATGACGTAAGAGGCATTCCCACAGTTTGGCCCTAACTTTGGGCTCTAGTCTGATTTGCAACCATTCTGCACATCTCTCTTCTCCATGCCTTTGGTTATGCCTTTCAACTCTCATCTTTCCCTGTCCAAATCTTATCCATTCATCAAGAACCAGCTCAGACGTTACTTCCTCCATGAGGTCTTCCCCATTCCTATCCTCAAGCAGTAAGTCAAGTCTCCCTTTCTGTTCTTATAATAGTTTGTAAGTATATGAACACTTTACATTCAGTTTTGTGTTTAACTAATTTCCTCTACTAAAACATAAGCTCCTGGGGACAGGGACTGTGTCCTGCCTGGAGCAGCGTAAATCCCCACAGCCTTTATCTCATTCATATGTGATACTTAAATCAACTAAAAAGACTAGAACTTAAAAAGTGAGACCTAGTCTTAAGCTTCAATCAACTGCTCCATAATGTTTACTATTTTTTCAGTTTCTAAAGTCTCCTTAAAAATCATTTTTAGCCACTATTACTTACCCTAAGAAAAATTTCTTAAAAAGGAAAAGAAAAACTCTAGTGGAAAAAAATAGAAACATTTCAAGTTTTCAACAATAAAAATGGCTAGATGCATTGTAATATACTTGCTTGATAGAAACTGACACATCAAATGAAAACTGAGTATTGAAATTGTATAGAAATATGATGAAAACTAATAATGGTAAGAGAAAAAAGTAAAATATAGAATTCTATCTACACTATTATTAGGCAAAGAAAACCAAAACAAAACAAAAATGCATGCAAATGGGTGAGACCCAGAAAGGAATGCTGAAAAATTAAGACAGCTGTTTGTTACAGTGTAGAACTGTGGGCAACTTCTGATTTAAAAAGAAAAAAAAGATGGCATTACTTTTGTTATCTTATTTATACTGATACACAATACCATTTCTCCCCCAAAAATTCCTTTTGAGGGAAAAAAGTTGATCAATATTAAAATATAGAGTCCAGGAGCGCCTGGGGGGCTCAGTCGGTTAAGTGTTTGCCTTCAGCTCAGGTCATGATCCCAGAGTCCTGGGACTGAGTCCTGCATGGGGCTCCTTGCTCAGCAGGAAGCCTGCTTCTTGCTCTGCCTGCTCCTCCTTCCCGCTGGTGCTCACTCATTCACTCTTTCTTTCAAACAAATAAAAAAAATCTTTAAAAACATATATAGAGAGAGAGTTCATTGGGGCGCCTGGGTTCAGCATTGGACTTTTTTTTTTTTTAAGATTTTATTTATTTATTTGTCACAGAGGGAGAGAGAGAGAGAACAGAAGGGGGAGTGGCAGGCAAAGGGAGAAGCAGGCTCCCTGCTGAGCAAGGAGCCCGATGTGGGACCCGATCCCAGGACCCTGGGATCATGACCTGAGCCGAAGGCAGATGCTTAACCAACTGAGCCACCCAGGCATCCCTTGGCATCGGACTCTTGATTTTGGCCCAGACCATGATCTCAGGGTTGTGGAATCGGGCTCCATGCTCGGCGTGGAGTCTGCTTCATTCTCTCTCTTCTCTCTGCTCCTCCCCCCTCTTCCTCCCTCCCTCTCTAATAAACTAAACTAAAATAACACTTAAAATATGGAGTCCATTAAATTTATAAATTCCATAAGGGTAGAACAATGGATCTTTATCAAGGGCGATTTTGCCCAGCACTCCTCCCCAGACATTTGGTGATGTCTGTAAGACATTTTTAGTTGTCATGATAGTGTGCGGGTAGGGAGGAATCTATTGACATCTAGTGGGTAGAAGCCAGGGACACTGCTAAATATCCTACAATGCACAGAAAAGTCTCTCCTTCCCTCTGCAACAAAAAATTATTTAGCCCAAAGTGTCACTATTGAGAAACTCTGGGATAGAGAATGTGTTATGTTGCTCGTCTCCAGAAACCCACTGGCTAGAACAGGGCCAAGGGCACAGAAAATACTCACAAGTAGTATAACTGAATGAACACACAGCATCCTTTCTCCTTGGGTTTTATCCTGATACTGTGAACTACCCTTTGTCAAAATTTTTATCTTGTGCTCACTCTCTTCTAGTAAACCAAACTCTGAAGCTTTAAAGCAACAATTCTTTAAAAGGTATCAAAGGCACTTTCAGAGTAATGACTTCTTGTAACCTCTAACTGCTAAAGACATCAGAATTTGCTGCGCTGAGCTTTTCAATACCTTTAACTCTTGGTAGTAACACTTCAAGAATAGCTACAGCTTATTCTAATAAAAATACAAGCATAAAAAATAAAAATACATTACAAAACATTTTTTCAAAATACTGTTTCAAGGAACAATTATGGATTAGTTTGCTTATGAAATGACCTCTAAAAAGCCTGATGTGTCTTCAATCTCAAACTCAAGATTCAAGGAACATTTATTGAACATCCACCAAGTACAAAGCACTATACTAAAAGAATATAGAAAATTTTTCTTTAAATACACGATATACATATATATGACATCTGTTAAACTAATGCTGACATTGTATCTTTTTTTTTTTTTTAATCTTACCAACCTTTTTAGACACATCTTGTTTCAATTCTTGTACAGGAGACTCATTTCCAACTTTGTGTGCAGTATTCTCAGTTTCCTATATTAAAAAGAAAAAGAGATCAAATGATGACATCTTTTCTTTAAAATTGTTTAAGATGGGTACAAATTAGAAAACATAGCATTAACAAAGCAAAGCCCATAAAGGGCTTAGATGTTTGTCTAAGGAAAGATGCCCAGATATTTTATGCAAAGTGGGACAATGTGATTTGTATAAGGTTACCAGTCAGCAATTTTCTATATTTCTACAGCAATAGGTTATTTTCCTATAAATGAGCTCATCTTTTTAACATTAAAAACTGTATAGGAAGATAAAAACTACTAAGTACCTCTGTAGCTTAAAAAGATGAAGGATTTAAAGCAAACGGCTGAATCAGAAATGCTATTTTTCTCAGAATATTGCTCCATAAAATGCATAAATATAAAAGTACATAATGCAGAAAACCACATTCAGAGAATAGTTTTCTTAAAAACGCTACATGCTTTAGATGAAAGGAATCAAGACACCAGAAGTTAAAGTCCCCCAAACAGTAACAGAAGAAATTAAACCCACCAAAAATACATATATATCTACGTATACATTCATATACACATACGTACATATATATATATATTTGGGAGGTTAGAGAAGGTAGAAATGGATACACGGCTTTTCTGCTGGAAAAAAAAAATTCTGGTAAAATAAGACAATTATACATTTGCAAATGTAAACATAGTATTCACCTCCATCCTAAATTGTCATTATGTTTACAGAAGTATAACAATTTGAATGCTAGTAATGATACTGAAAAAAAAAAACTTTTCATAATTTTTGGTACACATCACAGAGTTAGAGGTCACAATAACCACTTCTGACAGATAAGCAACCTAAGGCACATAACGATGTATGTAAGTATCAAGGTAGCACTTATACAAATGTTAGGATATGATCATGATAGCTGCTGTGATAAAATTACTCCAGATCAATATAATGCTGAAGACTTAATGTGCTAAAGAAATTTCTGTAGAACTTCCGATCTCTTCAAGCTGAAAAGTTGTTTCATGGAATTTTAAGTGTCAGGTAAAATCCAAACTCTACCACAACCCATGAGGGCCTACATCTTTGACATCTCTATTTCTCACCTCCCTTGTCCACCACAACCCCACAATCACACTTTGGCCAATTGGATGGTTCTTTACCATCCTTAGGGTGATAGCTCAAGGGTTATCACATTAGAAAAACCTTCCCTGACCACCTTAAAATAGCCTTACCTGCTTAACTGTCTATCACATTATCTGTTTCTTCACTGTACTTATCTCCATCTGAAATGACCCTGTCTACTTGCTTATATTTTTGTCTCTTCCGTGCCCCGCTAGAATGTAAGCTCCATGAGAGCAAGGGCTTTGTTCTGTCTACTACTATGTACCCAGTACACCTAAAAGAGTGCCAGGCAAAAGTAATCATTTCTAAATGAATGTTGAATAATGCATGGCTCTGGCTTTTCTTCAGTAAATACACATATCTTAAGTTTATATATCTTTAATCAAATCCTGGTTTTAAACTAAAAGAAAAAGGACTCTAATCAAAACCAATTAGTAAGATAATCTTGACAAGATGAAGGACAGAGAATACTTGAAAGGCTGATGGTCATTAAGTACAATTAATGCATATTAGAGAAACACCTTCAACTATCTTACGAATTAACTATATTTATCCAAATATCCTCCAATAACTGTTCATTAGTAGGAAAATCAGAAGCACTATACAATATTAATTCCATAGGTATGTTCCCGAAATTAACCTAAGCAAAAATACACACTAATAATTCCTGTACCTCAATTTAATTTGTTTGAATTAAGTACTTACAACCATCACAGATTAACATTCTCACACTGATCAAAACTGGAAGCAGTGGTTAGACTTCTATTTTATGTAGCTTTAACAAAACTCTCTTGGACTTTGAACCTTTGAAAGGTATCAACCTCTACAAGGTTAAACTGTGGTTAAGTCACAAGCTTAATGGGGCGATATGGGCACCTACCAGAGGATCTAATCTCTAGAGAAGTTAATCAGAAGGTTTCTTAGTAAAACCTGATTTAGTGCATATATAGTCATCTATGATTCTCTCTCAGTGATGTCTAAAGTCCAGGTCCTTTCCCTAGCACCTTGATCAGGCTGTGGAGGTAAAGCAATGGAAGCCAAGAATGTGCCTGCAGACAACCAACACCAACTCAGACTTCAGACACTCCTCACTTATTACCTCCTTTTGGAGATGGGCTGCCGCATTATTAAAGCACGGGGCCTACCAAATCCCAGCTTCCCACCATCAGGCCATTTCTTTAATCCATGCCTATCACAACCTCAGAAATATACTTCCTTAAGAGGTATGGTAGCGGGGGGCACCTGGGTGGCTCAGTCAGTTCAGCGTCTGCCTTCAGCTCAGGTCATAATCTCAGGGTCCAGGGATCGAGCCGCATCGGGCTCCCTGCTCAATGGGGAGTCTGCTTCTCTCTCCCCCTCTGCCCCTCTCCTCCTCCCTCTCTCCCCACTGCTCATGCACTCTCTCTCTCAAATAAACAAAACCTTTAAAAAAAGAGAGATATGGTAAGATCATTCAATTTCTAGCAATTCACTCCACTGTTTCCCTCCATCTCTGTTGGATATTAGAGAGCTGCCTGTACCCTTCTCATAGTATTCAGTTCTACAATTTGAGCTTTTTAATTTTAATAAGCACACCCAACAAAAAAAATCATTTTCACAAATAATTTGTACAAAAGTAATCTACACTTGGGGTGCCTGGGTGGCTCAGTTGGTTAAGTATCTGCCTTCGGTTCAGGTCATGATCCGAGGGTCTACGGATCAAGTCCCGCAACCGGCTCCCTGCTCAGCAGAGAGCGTGCTTCTCCCTCTCCCTCGGCTGCTCCCCCTGCTTGTACTCTGTGTGTCAAATAAATAAATGAAATCTTCAAAAAAAAAAAAGTAATCTACACTCTAGGAAATTTTCATTATTATCTACTAAAGCTAAAAATTCAGTTATTAAAAAATTCAGGTCACTTCTAGTTTTTACTAGTGAGGAAGGGAAAGCTATTCACAATGACTAAAGTGAAATTTTATATATTTACTTATTTACTTATTTATTGTTTTTATTTTTTGGTAATCTCTACCCCCAACATGGGGCTCAAACTCATGACTCTTAGATCAAACAAGAGTTGCATGCTCTTCCGACTGAAGCAGCCAGGTGCCCCAAAAGTGAAATTTTAAAAAATGTTTGAGAGATGTGACCCCTACTCTCTTTTGCTGAGAAGAGGAAAAGAAAAAACCACCAAGAAACAACTTTTAAATAGTGGTCATGTCCGTCCATCGATTCCTATCAACACATTCCCTTTGTCCAAGTCTCAAGTCTTGACATTCTAACTGCCTCTTAACAGTTCTCTCTGCACTTAGTCTTTCTTCCAAACTACTTCCCACCCTTCCACCACTTAGCTGTTGTTAATTCCCCAGGAAAAAAAAATCTGAAGAGCACAACTGTTAAAGACATATAAAAATTGACTTTTAAAATGTCTTGCTTCAAAATTTTAAAGCCCAGAGTTCTTTTTTTAAAGATTTTATTTATTTATTTATAGGAAAGTGGGGGGCGGGGGAGAGAGAGGGACAAGATGACTCCATGCGGAGCCCGTGGGGCTCAATCCCACAACCCTAAGATCATGACTTGAACAGAAACCAAGTGTCCGAAGCTTAACCGACTGAGCCACCCAGGTGTCCCAAAGCCCAGAGTTCTTAAGCTGACATTTGAGGTTCATCGAAATCTGGCCCAACTTTACTTTTCCATCATTTCACTGCTAAAACATTTACACAGGTCACACAAGTCTTTCAATGCTCCCAGCAAATTCTATACCTTTGCATATTAATGAGCTGATATTATTGCCTAACATACAATGCTTTCCGGATTTTTCTCTATCTGCCTATGCAGATCTCTCCCAATTTTCAAAGCCCAACACAAGTTCTACCTCCTCCCTGAAACTTTTCTCTGCTATTCCAGGTACCTACGCTCTCCTGTTGTTCTATCTCCCCCTTCCTCCTCCAAACTCCTTGGAGCACTTAAAGTCTATTCTGTTCTACAAACACAAATATCTCATATACATCCCTCTTCTGTGAGACTGTAAAATCATAAACTCAGGACAATATCAAACTTTTCTTTGGATTGCTTAATATCAATAGATAGGCTGCTATACATGATATGTACTCAATGGTCTGAGTACATAGTCTGAATACCATAGACTACTATTTAATAATAAAAAGGGATAAACCATTGATACATGCAACAATTTGGATCTCAATCCTTTGGGCCAGTCTCAAAAGGTCACACAGTATATGACTGCATTTATGGGATATTCTCAAATGACATTACAGAAATGCAAAACAGCTTAGTGGCTGCCTGGGGTTAGGGATGATGTGAGGGAGGGCGTGGGTGTGACTTTATAAAAGGGTAGCACAAGGGAGACCTTTGCGGTGATGAAAAAGATCTGCATCTTGTGGTGGCAGTTACACAAATATACATATGTAATAAACTGAAGCAAAACCATAAACTCATATTGTACCAATGTCAAATTTCTGGTTTTGATATTGTACTATAATTAAGATATAACCACTGGGTGAAATGGATGACGGATACACGGGAGTTCTCTGTACTACATTTGCAGCTTCTTGTAATCTGTAATTATTTCAAAATAAAAAGTAAAAAAGAACAATATCCAATTTTGTGTTTATTTACTAAATATGTATATTTTCTAACTAATTTTATTCAAGTTAAGCACAATCTATAATTAGAGATAAAATAAATTTCACAAATCTATTTTCTTATAACCTATAAATATCTTAGAGCTAAGTGGCTTTTAAAACCTACAGGCATAAACAGCAATTGTCTCTGGATATGGGGATTGGGAGGTGGAGGATGAGGAACGAGAGGGAAGCTACATTTTCAACCATCTACTTTTTGTACTGAGCAAATTTTAACCTTGTCCATGCATTATTTTTAAAAATTATTTTTATCAAATAAATACGAGAACTTTTATAAAATACAAGGAATGAAGAATTATGATATAACCTTTCTTAAGCACTCAGTTTAAGAAAAAGAACATTACCATTAAGCTTTCAATCTCTTGCATAGCCTTCTCCATTTTCATTGCCTTCTTTCTCCCTCAGAGATGATGGATACCTTGAATCTTGTGTTTATCATTCCCTTGCTCTTCTTTATAGTTTTACTGTGTTTCTATCTCTAAACAACATGTTCTTTCCTTTTTCATGTTTTTGAACTTAATATAAATGGAATCTTACTGTATGTATCTTACTGTGACTTTTCTCCTACTCAACACTATGGTGCTCAAATTCATCTATGTCATTGCATATAACCCATTCATTCATATCTACTGCTGTAGACTATGCCATAAGAACATACCACAATTTAACAAAGAGATCAGTATCCAATGTGTATAAATAGAAGGTAGGAACACTGGTACTAAAAAAAAAAAAAAATACAGCACGTTTGAGATCATACATACATTATATACAGACATACTCAAACATACACATACAGTGTATATTTGATGTAAATAGTTCTGTTTGGAAATTCTTGGACTTAAAATAGCTCTCACTGGCATAATGTCTCAATACCGAACTCCTTTGCTTGGAGCTAAGGCTGGGATTGATTTTTATATAGAGTGATGACACCAAAGCATGTGCCCATACAAGTGTTTTGGTTATTCCACATTTTTGTCATGCAAGTATTATTTTTTCAATTAACATACATATGTATTTTATAGTATTCTTCTATTCTAAAATTACAAAATTGGTGGAAATCTGAAAAATTTACAGTCCCTTCCTTATAGCACAATATTTGTTATTTCTAGAGTACCCAATCACACCTAGTAAGATACAGGGACAATATTATTTAGCAAAAAATAAGTAACAGCAAAAGCAAGAAAATGAAGATTTACATAAAATAGTAAAATGAATGAGAAGTGTACACAACTTATAGAAATATAACTCTCAGAAAACACAACTTACCTTTAATGTTGAAATCCCAACCTTTCCTGGAGACCTATACAGAAATAAAAGGAAGGAGGTGTTGAATAGTGGAAGCACGAAGGGAAATATTTCTATACATATATTAAAGAGAAGCCCACATTTAAAAAAACATTTATATAGTTTGTGATTGAAAAAAGTCTTCTGTGCACATAGAAAGTGTAGAAAACATAAAAAAGTAGAGAAGAAAATACAAGTGACCCATAATCCTACAATCTAGAGATCTGAGTATGTACCTTTTGTTTTCCCAGGTACTTATGATGTATAATACTATAACAAGCATCCTTGTAAATAAAATTTTGTGCTCCTCCATGATAAATTTCTTTTTTTTTTAAGATTTTATTTATTTATTTGAGAGAGAGAGAGAATGAGAGATAGAGAGCACGAGAGGGAAGAGGGTCAGAGGGAGAAGCAGACTCCCCGCTGAGCAGGGAGCCCGATGTGGGACTCGATCCCGGGACTCCAGGATCATGACCCGAGCCGAAGGCAGTCGCCCAACCAACTGAGCCACCCAGGCGCCCCCATGATAAATTTCTTTTTTAAGATTTTTTTAAAATTTTATTTGACAGACAGAGACACAGTGAGAGAGGGAACACAAGCAGGGGGAGAAGCAGGAGAGGGAGAAGTCGGCTTCCCACTGAGCAGGGAGCCTGATGTGGGGCTCGATCCCAGGACCCTGGGATCATGACCCGAGCAAAAGGCAGACACTTAACAACTGAGCCACCCAGGTGCCCCCATGATAAATTTCTTTAAAATAAGTTTTCTAGGGGCGCCTGGGGGCTCAGTCGGTTAAGCTTCCAACTCTTGACTTCAGCTCAGGTCATGATCTCAGGTTCCTGAGATCGAGCTCCCAGTAGGGCTTCACATTGGGTGTGGAGCCTGCTTAAGATTCTCTCTCTCCCTCTCCCTTCGCCCCTCCCCTCCCAGGTCATGTGCTCTCTCTCTCTCTAAAAATAAGTAAATTTTAAAACAAAAATCAAAACAAACAAAAAAACCCCCAGTAGCTACATAAAATAGTGCCTACCATTTAATTGTAGTACCTGGACAATATTACTTCATGTTAACAAAGGACAATTTCCAGAAATGAAAAATATATTCCCAATTATTTGACTTCCCTGGCAAACCTATACTGCTATGTAACAAAATCCTCTTTATCCAGAGGTAATTAGGACCAACGCTATTCTGATTTTTAAAAAAAGGAAAAAAGAGGGGTGCTTGGTTGGCTTAGTAGGTTAAGCCTTAGACTCTTGATTTTATCTCAGGGTGGTGAAATCAAGTCCTGCATTGGGCTCCACCCTCAGTGGGGAGTCTGCTTCTCTCCTTCTCCCTCTGTCCCTCCCCCTGCTCATTCAAGCACACTCTCTCTCAAATAAATAAATCTTAAAAAAAAGAAAAAAAAAGATTCCACACAAAGGATGTCTAAAACAATATAAGTGCAATCAAAAGAACAAAAATAAAAACAAAAACACCTTGAAGGGGCTTGAATTTCTATGTGGCACATATTGTGAATGCCAATTAGGGAAAAAAAAATTACGTGCTTCAGAGGTGTAGCGGCAAGATGAAATAAGATTTAAAAAAACTTAAGCCCCATATGAGGTAAAGAAGGGAAGAAAAAGAAAATCTACCTTTCCCATGACCCTCACTTTGAGAAATCTGACCAGGTTTTTTTAGCTGTCAAAGAAAAAAAAAAAAAACAGAATGGGGAGCCACATTTATCTGTTATGTAACAGATTTCATAAAGAACACTTTCTGGCTGTTGATTCACAGGATCTAAATTACAGGCCAATTGTTGACACACATGGAAATATTCCAGATTGATTCTGACAGGACTTTACATATAGCCATGTACAAACTATAAAGAGTAATTTATTACTTCCTTTTGAGAGCCATGGGGACATAGTGAAAAAAGCAAGAGCTTTCAAGCATACGGTCCCTGCTTAAATAGTCTTTATACCATTTATTCTACGTGTGATCTTGATCAAATCATTTAATTTCTCCAAGCCTCAATCTCCTCTGTAAAAGGGTAAAAGCACTCTACTTCACAGAACTTCTGTAAGGATTAAGTGAGAGCCATGGGGCACGCAGAGTAAGTGGGAGTTTCTTCAGCAGCATTAAATTGCTTCATCGAAACTCAAAAATGATGAGCTTCAGCAAGTTTCTCCAAGATACTTTGGCAGTTTGTCAGCTGTGGGGAGCCTGAGACCAATTTCTGAACACAGAAAAGATACCCTACAGGCTGTCAAACTCCAGCCCACTTACCAACAGGGAATGTGAAAAAAGTCAGATTGTATTGAGCTGGTGATTAAAATGGGATCTGGCTTACGTTTTGTGATGCCGTTAAACAAAAAACTAGTAACAAAAGACACTCATGTTTGAAATATATTTTAAATGTTACGAAGTTGTTATGGTCTTGGTAGGCAGTAAAATGTTTCAGATTACTATACCTTCTTCTAGGCTAATCAAGCCTAAGACTGTCTTTACCAGGGTAGCCCGTAACACCAGAATTCTTTTGTGATTCATTTTTTGAACCATTTATAGAACATTGGCATCTAATAACAAGTGAAAGCCCATTTGTAATTTGTGAAGTTGGCTAAAATGATTTGTATCATGCGCCAAGATGAGAAAAGAACAATTCGTTTCACCCTAAGAAACAGTAAATCATTTAGTATTCCCACAGGAAGTGTTCCTAATGGGGCATTGTAATAATAATAAAACAATGGCCATCATTTATTAAGCATGTGACCAAAACCTTGCTAAGACCTGACTTGTTTTAGCTTCTTTTGTCCTCACAACTTTCCTATGAGGTAGTTTTATTACCTTCCCTACTTTACACAACAAAACAATTGAGGTTTGGGTCAGATTAGGTCATTTAAATTGCACTGCTAATAAATAGTAGGGCCAGAATTAGATCCCAGGCAGTCTGATGCTAAGAGCCCACTCTCTAAAATACTTTGCAATATTGCCTCCTTTCTGGGTAAGGTCTTAAAAGATGATGATTATGAAAATATCCTACCTAATTGGTGCTATGAATGAACACCAAAGTAGAGGCAATTAGTGCTGCTTCTTGGGCTGGACTAGACTGATTAAGTCAAAAGCTCTGAATCCTGATCTGCCTTTTACCACTACAATTAACACCTAATTGATTTGGCACTGCTAGGGAATAAAACAATGAAATGTTCTATATATAAAATTTCAAGAGAGACGAAGCTTCTCTTTTAGTGCCAAACTTGTGAAAGTATTTTAATTATTTTTGAATTTCCATTTCAAAAGCTTCTTGTAAATAAGTACATTATAGGCTAAGCCTTGCCATTTCAGTAATCTTTCCCTTGAAAATACCTTCTTAAACAAAGGATATAAAATTTTCCCTTTCTTACTGACTCAGAGTAATTATGCTCAAATATTACACTACATTTTAATATAGTAATGCCCTGGAGGGACATTTATTTGCAGGAAATTTATTTGTCTTCACACTACAGGACCCTAGGCTATCACACTTGGAATGTCTGTTTTACAGTTTGAATCTCTTTCCTCAATTTAAGTGGTCATTTTAATTGGTTACTTTTTACAGTTGGCCATGTGTCTCCCTTTAAAAGCTTCTCTCCTCATCCCCTTCTAATTTTTTTTTAAAGATTTTATTTATTTATTTGAGAGAGCACACGCACACACGCGCCAGCCCAAGAACGGGGAGTGGCAGGCAGAGGGAGAGGGAGAAGCAGGCTCCCCTCAGAGCAGGAAGTCCAACACAAAGCTTGATCCCAGGACCCTGGATCATGAGCTGAGCCCAAGGCAGATGCTTAACTGACTGAGCTACTCAGGTGCCCCATCCCCTTCTAATTTTTGCTTCTAATCTGCATTGAGCTGGGAAACCAGGTTTTCAAAAATGGAATTGTATGCTAAAGGAAGAATCCAGAGATTCTGAGTGAGGGTCTCCCCACGAGAAGTTTTGTACACGACTTTACTGTGGACTTTGTGGCACTTTTTTTGATTGGTCAGAGACTGTTTAAGTGATTATTTTTTTATTTTCAGCTGTACTGGAGAATCCATTACCAAAGAAGTGGCTGCCAGGTAAGGGAGGGGTCCCTAATCTTTGGTATCCCTGGATAACATCTCAACTCTTCTCTGTTTCTCAGTCTCTAACTTCAAAGTAGAGATAACAACATTATACTATTTCAAGGTGATTATGTGCTTAAAGAAAACTATTCATGCTCAAGTTTGGGGACAGGAGAAATGAGTGTCTAGAGATCAAGAAAATTAAATTCTACTCTAAGTTTTCCCAACAAACTAAGCTCCTTTTAAGCAGGAGTTTTTTAGAGTTCCCATAATTTTAGGAAATTTTAAGACCCTTCATTAGTTCAGGAGTTGAAGATGTTAATTTACACCATGATTAATGATCTAAATTTTATACTCTGATTTCCCTTAAACTTGAGATATACTGTAGGAAACACTGACATAATCTAACACATACACATCCAGAAATGTCCAGTATTACTTTGATACATCTAGTTAACTAGAAAAATATTCCTTCAAAATTTCTGTAGATACTAAATATTGTAAATTAGACTCTTTCTTTTTACAGGTTAAGGTCAGTAATTTTTTCCCAGAAAAAGTCTAAATGCCTACATAAAATAACTTTCACTGTACTCCACACAAGTGAAATCTTTAAGAACTTCTGAAGTGGGGCGCCTGGCTGACTTGGCTAGTAGAGCAAAGGACTCAATCTCAGGGTCCCGAGTCCAAGCCCCACATTGGGTATGGAGCCTGCTTTAAAAAAACAACAAAACCCTCCGAAGTAACAGGTAGACATATTTAAGTATTGGTGGTATACCCCACTTAAATAAAACCTAACCAAAATGAGAGCTTCAAAGGTTCATTTTTTCATTTGGAAAATTTTATCATAGGGTTTTTAAAAATTTTTTTCAAAGATTTTATTCTTTTGACAGAGAGAGCACAAGTAGGCAGAGTGGCAGGCAGAGGGAGAGAGAGAAGCAGGCCCCCTTCTGAGCAGAGGGCCGGATG